TGTTTGTGTTTATTGTTTTGAGAATTCAAACACAGTTTTGAAACAAATAATTAAAAATTTGAAACAAAAAAACAAGTTTTTTCAACAATTAGTCATAATTATTGTAAAATAAATCATTTAATGAAACAATTATTCATTAATTTGAAACAATTGTTTTTCTTTTGAAACAATTAATTATTGTTTTGAAACGGTGTTGATTAAAGGTACATTTTTATCATTATTTTGAAAAATAACATTATAATTTTGAAAAAATTATTAAACAAAATGAAACTAACTGTAACAACATATCATTATTATTTCACATTATTTATCATATTTTAATAAAAATATTATAATTTTTTTCCTTAACAAAACAAAAGGAAATATTAAATGTGAATGTATATTTTTATCTTTTTGTTGAAACAAAATTGTCTAAATTTGGGTCGAATTAATTATTATTTTGTAAATCGGCATTTTATTTTCTACTTTACCAAATAAACTGTTTTTCAAAAGTCGGTACTGGGGTGTCCCGATTTTTTGCATTTATTTTATTTATTATTTTTGGGAATCGTTTTTTGTAATAAATTCGCTTATTTTTTCCAAGTAAAAAAGAGAAAAACAGTCTTCAAAATTATTTTTTTACTTGAAGAATTTTTAAGCATTAAAAAATTCCATATAAAATTTGAAATAACAGGATTTTTGTGTCAGAAAAACACACGAGTGATCCCAAAAGTGCATTTTATTATAAAAAGCTGATAAATTTAATGCCAAAAATTTTCAAAGTCGAGTCTTCATTTATAATAATAAAATAAATAACAAGCGCTAAAGTATCGCGTAATATCGATATACTGATGGTGTTGTCACAATACAACTTCTTGTTCGTTGTTAATGTTCGTTTCAGGTTGTTGAATTGATGTAACACTTTCATTTTCTTTTAAACTGTCGAGAGTAGTTGGTTCGATATTTTCATCGGGTTCTATATTGTTAAACATGAATAGACCACCGGTTAAAGTATCATAAAAAACATTAGGTGTATTTGTCGGCATGTAACGTAGAAATTGGTTGGGTTGACCAAAAAAAATCATTTATATTAAAACGATTCAATTTTTATTCAATTATAAATGAATCGATTTTTACATTTTCTAAGTGCGTGATATTTGCTTCTTTAATTTAATCAAAATGGTTTAAATATTAATGATAAATAAATTAAAATAATTAATTATTTTTTTACCTTTTATTTTTTGCATAGAATGAGTTTTTTATAATGAGTTTACCATTTAAAAAATACAAAAAAAAGAATTATTTTTTAGAATGAGTTTTCTAGAATGTAAATTGTACAGAATGAGTTACCCGGAATGGATTTTCACCCCACCAAATATACAACAGTGTTGATACAAAGGTAATTTTCAAATTATATTCCCACTTAAATAATAGTTGTTTATTACATTGAATTTATTGATTGTAAATAGTAACTTTTGTGCAATGACTATGATATAGATTAAAACAAAAATAAACGATTATCATCAATTGCATTGTGTAACTACGTCGATGTGCACAATTTTCATTCAACAACTTTTTGTTAATAATTACATATAAGAGCGTTGTTATATACAATTATTCTTTTATTACTATATTTTTCTTATTATTCAAATAAAAAGACATAATTAAACATATATACCTTAGTGACACCACAATTTTATTATTATATAAAATAGAAACATGTATTGATTATTAATTTCAAAAATTTAATAACAACAGTTTGTGTATTAGGTTTCACTGTTAAAAACAACATTTTCATTTTTATAAAATGTCAAAAATAAAACGGGATAACGTTTTAGTGTGAAAACGTGTAAAATCAAACCTAAATTTGAAATTATTACACTGAAATTACTAGAATAGCACAGCTTAAAACATTTTTGCTTTAACTTGTTGCTCTCTTAATATATACATAAGATATATAAATCAAAATTTTATCATCAAAGAGTAAAAGCAGACGATACAATAATTATAAAATTGATTTCAGTTCTTTGTTGTGGTAAATTAACTTTGTCGTTTCAACATAAATGAATACATTTTTGAAATTATTTCAAAATTCAATTCCATACATATTTATCTATAATAACTGTAATTTCTCTAGATCATACATAACAATAAATTAAAACACAAATGTTTGTCTTTTTGGATTTATAATACGATGCACATATAATCTAAGTAATACACAAACATTTAATATCAAATTAATTGCTTTCAAATTGAATATTAATAAAATAGAAAAAAATATTTTTAATTAAATTTATAAAATATGTTTAATTGTATTTAAGAGACAACACCAATGTTAATGAAAAAAACAAATTGGTTTATTATCAACATTTTATGTATATTTGATTATTTATCATAAACAAAATTAATGTAATTGTCAGTTATATTAACCAGTAAATATATTTTATTTAAACGTAACATGTACAAATGGGTTGTGAAAAACAAGTAGTTTTAAAATTTATTTACATACTTTTCATAATATAATATTTATGTATTTGTTTAGTTTGAAATTATATGTTTACACACTCAAAAGGTATACATGTTTAATAATTTTATCCGTTTTTACTATGAACATGTAAAGTATAAAAAATCATTTTATTTTAATTATCAAAATACAATCATTAAAAGTAACTGTATTATCAAGTTATTATTTCACTTTCAAAAACAGTTGTGATGTCATTTTCATAATGTGCTATTTATGTGTGTAATCAGACATAATAAATTAAAAAGATAATATATATTCAATAAAGTTATTTACATGTTATTATCGACAGTGAGTTATTGGAAAATATTTTTTTGATGTAGTTACACAATTAAAATAGTCACACCTATTCTAAATATAAAAATATATTTAATAATCAAAAATATGTCAAAAACAATTATTATCTTTGGTTAATGTTTACATCAACAAATACATTTGAACATGATTGTTGATTATTTATTTATCATTCCATGTCTTGTCATCTTGACAACCGAGAGTGTGATTTTCAAAAACTACATTTCTAAATTGAAATACAATTGTTAAAATATGAATATTTTTATGGAAATACAATTATTTTTTTGTTTATTAAATATTTTTTTTGTAATCACTTTTTTTAACAAAAAAAATATTAATTAATTAATTTTTTATATTTATAATTATTTGACACACATTTCAAACCTTTTTTACAAGTTCTTAATTATTTTACGTATGTTTTTGACTTTAAATAATTATTTTCAGCCCAAGAATTTTGATGAATCTTCAAGGTCACCTTTAAAACAATAATAACATACCAAATTATTTGATTGATTTATCAATTTAAGTTTAATATTTTACTCTTACATTTTATTATTCAAAAATTTAACTGTCATAAATTGTAAAATAAACTATTTTTTACAAACTTAAAGTCGTTCTCAATTGTTTTTTTTTCTTAATTATTTCAAACTTGAATTATGTAATTTACCTTTGAGAATTCATAAAAATTGTTAATTTTAAAAAATGGTAAATATTAAACAGATATTTTTTAAAAAACCAAAAGAAATTAACGATGTTTTCCTTTCCTATTTCCCTCAGATCAAAGATTTTTTACAATGAAAACCACCAGAAAATTGTCGTACATTGTGTTTTTCGTATTAAATTTATAACGGAAATAATAAAACACGTATAAAATTTTCACTGAACAATGAAGAAAAAAAATAGTGTTTAAAAACAATAAAACCCGAAATTATTTAAGAAAATACTATAAAACTAAGTGTACGACTTTTTATTAAGGTCTTTACATTGATTTGTGTTAGAATAGAATAATATATTTCTGTATAAAATACACTTAAAATGAATTGGTTTTTAATAAGTTAATATTGTTGGATTATTTTTTATACTAAAGGGTTAAAAAACAAATTTTGGAAAATAAATAGAATCACTTGATATTCATTATCTATTCTTCAAACATTGTCTTTTTGACAAAAAAAATGTTTTTTGTTTTTAAAAAGACGGGAATAAGATAAAAATAAAAAAACAGGTAAAAAATTAATACTTTTATTTGGGAATTTTTCAAAAAATAATCCCGAAATATTACGATAATGTTGGTCCGAAAAAATTTCGGACAACTTTCCAGACCATACATTTTAGCCAATGACTTAACCCTTAAAAGTCCAAAAATTATGTTAATATAACATAAATATATACCTATATTTACATATTTTAAAAACTAAAACTGTCATTAAAATAAATGATATTTAAAATTTAATTTAAATTTGACAGTTCCAGTTTGATGTCACACTTTTAACATTTAAAAAGTTTGCAAGTTTTATTTTTTTCTGATTTTTAAAATAGTTTGTTTAAAATACACATTTAATTGAAAATATATAAATTTACACCTAATAATTAAATAGGAAAGATATGTTTTAACGAATTCTACCTGAATAATAATTATTAATATTTTGATATGATAGAAATACAATTTGATTATTTTGTATATTTTTTAATAAAAAATAAAAAACGATAGTTTAGTAAATATTTTTAGTTAATATATCTCCATAGTATCTCTTTGTCTACAAAATGTTTCTGAATGAAAATAGTGAATGGAAGTCTTAATCCACAATGAATGAAATGAAATTTGTCCAAATGTCAAAAAATGTATTTTCAATGAAATATTAAGTCTAAATACACAAAAGTTACAGTTTTGTGTTTGATAAATATAATATATATGACAAATGAAAGCTGTTTTAAACGATATATCAACTTACTATTTGTTGTAACTTTATTATTTTATCAGTGTCTATATATCAAATTTTTTATTTATTGTTGTGTTTTTGTTTTATAAACAAAGTGAAATGTAGACTTCTAAGGGTTTAATGATACAAAGAAAAAATTAATGAGGTCTAAGTTTAAATTGATTATAATTAAAAAAAATGTTAATAAAAAAATAATGTAAATATAATTCATCATTTCCTCAACTTATCATTCCGAAATCACCGGAATGACCAAACATTAAAGTGTTGACTTACAAGAGAAAAACAAATCCAATGACCACACTCAAGAGCCACATCCCACGCCCATTGTCTCGCAGGTTCCCACGATCTTCAACAACACATTTACCCATTGTTGTGCACACAAAACCATCTCTACACTTTCCACAAGCTGGTTCGCATCCAACAGTCCACATCCGCTGACCAACGTCTTTTGAATTATCGTCGACGTTACACTCCGTTCCCCGACAATCAAATTCGGTGGAGTTGCACACCACAGTCCGATTGATGAACCTGTCAGAACGAGAGAGTTGTGCCGACAAAAGAGTAACCGTATCACCTTCGTTGTTCAAGTAGACAACACTAATTAAGTTACCAAATTCTTTGTTGGCCGCGTCAAAAACCGCCTTCACTTGTATGATATCACCAATCCGCTGCGTTTTGAAATTCATACTTCCAGTGATATTGACCAAAGTTTTTAAATTGGTCAGAAGAGCCATGTCCTTCACGTGATAATATGAAATTCGTTGAATTGAAATGTCGGTTGTGCTTTTTAACTCGAAGCTGAGCTCTTTGAACTCTTGGGACATCACTATCGGAGAAGAAAAGGCGAATGACATTGATGTGAAAGCTTCGTGTTTTTCCGTGCGAAATATTGGGTTGGTGTCAGATATCCATTCGTATGTTTTCCCGTCTGTAATTTTAAAAAGGTACCACCGCATGACGCTCAACTTGTCCGAGACTTGTGGGGAATAAATGACGTTTTCTGCGATGTATATACAATGCTCCAATGCGAATGTCCGAAACTTCGCGTTCGAAACGTATCTTTTTATTTGGTTATTTGTAACGGTCAGTTGGACGTTCTCAAAGCGCACTTTTTCGTTCAAAAACGTCACAAGATTCAAAATAACATTTTTAGAGGAGAGAGGAAGCTCAAAAATATTGTCTTCATTTGTTTGATACACTGTACCATTTAATTCAATGAATTCACTTATTCTGTTTGAATCAGTAATTTGTACGAAACTAGTTGTGGTCGTGTTGTTCAAAACCCAGAGAGATGGACTCACGTTGAGATCAAAGTCCGTTTCTGCGACAGTCATTTGGGCGAAGGCGTCTGTTGATGCATAAAACCCCTTTGTGATGATGTTAAAAAGATTTTTTGATACTCCAACAACCGCAGCCTTTGGCGGGAAGGGTTTTCCTTGGAATGTGAAATTGAATGAGCCGGCAATCATACAGTAAACAGGAATGTTACTCGAACCAACTAACTCCAACCATTCCCCACATCGTTTGACACGATTGTCGCCTTTGTTCACATCCAGAAAGTGCTCATTGACGTAACAAGGCGACTTGATATCAAATCCTTTGACTTCATGTTTATAATTTGGTATATTTGAGTAACACTCTTTTTTGATCTCCGCGTTAACGTCGGAGGAGTCCATGTTGATTGCCAAAAAGTCTGGCATACAAATTTGAGAGAACGCATTTTTGGATTGACTCATTGTGAAAGAAAACATTAAACAGAACGAGAGAGTAAACATGATCGGGTGTAACATGCACTTAATAGTTACAACTCAGTTTAAGTGTGAAATTGCACGATTTGTTTGCAAAAATACTAACAACACATCAATAAAAATAATTTGAAGTGGGGTATTTTACTCAAAGTGAATTCCACATCAGAGTCTTCAGAATGTTAACTTTGGTAAATTAATATAGTAATTCATTGTATATTAACCGCATTTGGTTGTTGTTTGGTCATATTTAATCAAATACGCCGATTCGTTGTCGATGGTAATATAATTCAAAAAGATTAAAAGGTCCAAAAATTTCATCGAAAACATAAATATTTTTTAGTGGAATTCATAACGAAATATTTTAAATAGCTACAATGATAATCTCTCTGAAAAATATTGTTTGTTTTTTCTTTTAACAATATCTTACATAAAATTATTATCAATGTTATATAAAATAGCTAAGATATCAACAAATAAAGTCTTGTGAAACTATTCGATTTCTAAAAAAAGAAAAAATGAAAACGAAGATTATTATTTTAAAAAAAACATCATTTTTGTGATTTATTATTATAACAAACATTTAATCAAAAATATAATAAAAATATAATAAAAATATAATAAAAATATAATTATAAGGATAATTATAAGGATATAATAAATTGGTTTGTATTTTTTCTTTTTTTAATATTTAAATGTCGAAATGCATTTGAAAAATAAAGATTTCGACATTTTTATTACGAAACACATCACCAAAATGTTTAAAATACATTTTATGGACAAAGACAATAAAACAAAGATAAACTGTATTTATTTTATAGTTTTATATTAAATAAATATCTATTATATTATAATTTTATAAATATTTATTTAATTTAATTTTCTTTGGAGAGCGAAAACATTTATCAAATTTAAGTTGATTTAACAATATTAAATGGTTATCGATTCTGGATAATTTTTTTTGAGAAAAAACTATTTGAAGAAATGTACAAATTTGAATTATGAAACTCATAAAAAGTCGTATTAGTAGGTTACTAGTAAATTTTTAATAAATTGTAGAAAGTTATTATAGAATAAAACTGTCTCCCAATTACAAATGAGGATTTTTTGTAACTAAAATTATAATTGTTATTAAAAATAAATTTATTGTTATTGAAATTGCTTTTATTAAAAAGTTTTTATGTTTGTATAAAACTAATTTATTATAAATTGTATAATTATGATTAAATAACTTTACATAATACTTTATTTATTATGGCTTTTTATTTAACATTCTTTGAAAGTTTTTATACAAATTAAAAAACTTGAGTGGGTAATAAATAATAATAATATGAAATAATAATAATTTATATATTTCTGTTTTATTTGAATTTGATAATAAGTTAAATTTAATTAATTACAATAAAAATAATGATGATAAATTTCTAAATAACGGGAATTTTACAATTTAATCACTAAATTTCCAACTTTTTTGATCTTTATGTAATAATAATAATTAAAAAAATGATTTTAAATTATTAATAAATGAATTATATATAATAAAATTAAATTAATTTATTTTTGAATTATGAAATGATTATAATGAATAAAAAAAAATCTCAAAAAAAACAAAAAAAATGTTAGGAATAGATCCACACAACTATTTAATACCAAAAGTAAGTGCGACTCAACATTTACAAACAATTGACTCTTTTCGTTTTGACATTTTGGAGAAGAAAATTGATATTATTCTTTTTAGAACAGATTTAATTATGAAAGAACTACGAACAATACCTCGGTGTAAAGATCAACAAAACTTTAATTTAAACGAAACTAATTTGTCTTTAAGTCAACGAAAAATGGAACAAAATCACGACTTAAACAAAGAAATAGAAGAGAAACAATCCCCATTAAAACAAAACAAAATTCTTGAAAAAATGCACCAAACTGAAAAAGAATCTCAAACCCAAATTGTTCATTTTAGTTTACCGAAGATTGAAAAAGTGGAAAATCAAAATGACGAGAAGATTGAAGCGAAAAATCTTGAGAAGAGGGAAAAATATCTGACTGAAAAATATAAAGCGCTCCGAATAATTAATGAGGATAAAAGAAAACTATTAGAAAATCTTAAAAAGAAAAAAAAAGACCAAGAAAAATTAAAATTTTTCAATACAAACGTTTTGAAAGGACAAATTGAAATCCCAGAAAACTTGAAAATTGATGTGAAAAGTGTCGAGCAAAAACATCCACAAAACGAAAGTCAAAACGTAACAATCAAACAACTTCAACCCATCAAACAAAGTGATGTTGAGATCGAAGATCAAATTGCCAAAACGAATGAACTTCAAAAAGAAAATGAAAAGGAAAAAACGAAACAACCAGAAAATCCTACGAAAGAACAAATTGAACAATTTATTATTGAACGAATAACAAACACAATTAATAAATTTGAAGATGATTATGACATACTCAGAAAAACAAATAGAGCCAAGAAAAACGAAATACAACTTATCAAAAAGAGACGTCTTGAACAATACAATGGTTCTATTTCTAAACTCTAACTTAAACTATACCTTCTAATGGTTATGTATCAAAATTATAGTTTTTTAAATTATTCATTTATAGTTTGATTTACAACTTAATAAAAAATGAAATAAAAATTTTACTTTAACTATAAAATATTATAATAATAAGATTTGTTTTTATTATAGCAAAAACCAAACTTTTAACTATAAATAACTATAATAATAATTATGATTATTATTAATGAAAAAAAACCAGTAAACTACGGGAATAATGATGATTTTTTCCCAAATAGACATTGGATTTCATTTTTGGGCTACTATAAATAGTATCTTATACCTTATTATAATTAGTTAATTTAATACTACACAATCGGGAAGAGTATAATTACTGAATAAAAAGAGGGTGAATTGCAATAAAAACGCGTTTCTGTGTGAATGAATTGTACTAAATTGGAACCATACTTTACCATATCAAAACAACACAAGAAATCTTCATCAGGTTTAGATAACCACTTGAAGTATCTTCATAAAAGCACATAACAAATGAGTCGCAGCAGATCCAACAGTACAAGCAGCTCTTCTTCAGACGACTTTGACAAAGACTACGCCGATGGGACTTACATGGACCACAGAGGCTTCCGTGCCGAGGCATTGATGGCATTAGCAGATGTCTACCAATATAAAGAAGCGGATCCAATGGATGAATTTGGATTCCCTAAAATAGCTGAGGACTGGGAGTTATCCCAGTTTTGGTATGACAATGAGACCGGAGACAAAGTGATAGACTTCATAGCCAATTATGTGAATATGAGAGAGAACTGTAATGTCGCTTGTATATCCACCCCATCAATCTACAAAGCTTATTTAAGAAATAAGAATAAAGTGCCTCGAGCAACTTTCACCCTTTTTGAGTACGACACAAGGTTCCAATCCACCGGTGTCAACTTCACATTTTATGACTTAAATAAACCGGAAATGGTCCTGGAGAAGTACATCCATCTCTTCGATTTGTTAATCATTGATCCTCCTTTCTTGTCTGAAGACACCACAGACAAAGTCTATAAAGTTTGTTATTTATATTAGTATATTCTAATTTAATATAATTATTATAATATTATAATAATTATTATAATATTATAATAATTATATTATATTAGTACATTATAATTTAATATAATTATTATAATATCATAATAATATTATTAGTATATTATAGTTTTCAAAGATTTGAAGTAATTGCTGTATTAAACAGTAGACGGCACAACTCATTGCTAAACCAAATGAATGCGAAATTGTGTATGTCACGGGTTTGAAGGTCGAAGAGTGGCTAAAAAAGTGTTATTCAAATATTCAATTAACAGACGTGTCTGTTCGCCACGAACATTTACTTAAAAACCCATTCGGTCTTTTTTCAACTAAAGTCCCTTTAATTTGAATGATGTTTATCTTTTAAAGTTGATTTGTTTTTTATTCTACAAATCATTACTACATTGCAGTCCAAATGTAGTCACAGCTACTTTATATTCAATAAAAAAATTATAAGTGACTCTCAAAAGTACCTAATAGTTTTTCAAAGTCGAGTGAAGACTTCTTCCATCAAACAAGCAAGTGACAAAGATTGTCCTTCCGATTATTTGTATATAGAAGATCCTCGAGACATTCGTTTTTATGCCATTTTAGTCTTTCAATACTCTGAACTCATTTGTTATAAAGAACCAAATTCTATAAAATGTTCTATTTCTATAAATACTCAAACTATATAATAATATATTTATAATAAATTAATAATATATTTATAATAAAATAATCTAAAAATAGAAAAGAAGCATTCAAATGAAGTATGAAATAATCTCTGAACTTCCCGTCTTTCCTTCGCCAAACTGTTCGTTCCAATTTCTTGTTTCTGTGAGTAACGGAGAGTCTTTATTAGTACTTGGATTCATCGTCGAAAGTACTTCCAAGAAGTCGTTATCATCAATAGGTCGAATATCGATCTTTTTACTCTCTTCTTTCTTCATCACTTCCTTCTCTCCTTTCTTCTCTTCACTTTTCAAATAGTCGCGCAGTGGTCTCATTGCCGCCGCACACGACAAATTGAACAAATCGCATCCCGAGTATCCATTTGTCTTTTCCGCTATTTTCGAGATATCCACTGCAGTGTTCTCTCCCTTTAGAATCACTTTCAAGATATTTTCTCGGTCTTCTTTTGTTGGTAAATCAACTAAAATCCTCCGACTGAATCGCCTCAAAATGGCGTCATCCAAATCGAACGGGCGATTCGTCGCTCCCAACACGATGATTTGTTCCATATTCTTCGACTTCAGTCCATCCCATAATGTCATAAATTCGTTCTTCATCTTTCTTAACGTTTCGTTCTCATTTTGTGACGTTCTCTTCCCCAGCAGTGCGTCGACTTCATCTATAAATATCACACACGGCGACAATTTCTCCGCAAGTGAAAACAGCGCTTTCACAAACTTCTCCGCTTCACCAAACCATTTCGATTCAAGTGACGACAACGACGCATTGATGAAATTCGCTTTGGACTCCTTCGCAACGGCTTTCGCTAACATCGTTTTCCCCGTCCCTGGCGGGCCAAAGAATAAGATGCCTTTACTTCTCTTCGTCAAACTTCCCTTCTTAAACAGTTCTGGTCGGAGCAGTGGTAAAGTGATGCTATCATACAGTGTTTCTTTGACCTTTTCAAGTGCTCCAATATCATCAAATGAAACATCTACATCAGCACTTCTCACTACATCGCTCATCAATTTCTTCTCAAAGTCATTCTCCGCTTCTAACATATCAACAGCGTCTTTCGTGGGATTCAATAATTTCTCCATCTCAATCGCTCCCAACAAATTCTCCTTCTTTATCACTTTAACCTTCTCGTTGCTCGTTGAGATCTCTTTCCCTATCGCCCATCCAATAATCTTCTCCGCATCTTCCTTCTTAATTTCATTGTCTATAGAAATGTCCTCATTCTCTTCTAACTCTATCCCATACCGACTAATCTCACTCTTTAACATCTTCTTCGAACGATCCCCTCGCATCTTCTTCCCATCTTCTTGCATCATTATCCACCACCCACGCGCGGACTCCCCCGTCGGCGTCGCTATATTAATCGTGTTCCCAAACATCTTCGAAAGGGTTTTGGATATGCTCTTCCCATGACTTTGGCCCTTCACTCCATACCCATCAACCATCTTCATTTCTTTCTCCCCAAACATACACAGCCCTGGGTCAACTTGGGGTATCTGTTTCGCATGCCCAGACTTCACTGCTGAAGATGACGCTGAACACCCAACTAAAATCCCTCGTGTGCGCTTTTTGAAGTCATTAATGAACGATCGGATCTCAGTGGAGACATCGCTCTTCGTCTGGAAGAATTCGTCGACGCGTTGTAAGACAACAATCATCTTCGGTACTGCATTTAATATCTCAGGAAGTCGCCCAATCAGTCTGCGGTCTTGTTTAGGGACTTCTTCATCAACACCACCAAGTAAATCAACTTCCACAAAGGCTCCACTATACTCATTCGAATTGCTCTCAAAATTCACAGCTACCTTCCCATCAGAAACATACAACACTTTCCCAATTCGGCCTAATAACTCCTCATTCGTGCTTTTCCCTTTACCTATGTACTTCACACGATCACCAGTTTGAAAGTTCTTCGAACACTCTTGCTCGACTCCATCAACCGCACCAAGTAATGTGCAGTCGATCTCTAACATCGGCACATTCATCTCGTCGGATACGCGCTTTAAAAGTCTTTTCAAGAACAAATCGGCCCCCGTGGGCGCAGTCACTAACAGAGTTCGCGCTATACTTTTGTTCCTCGAAAAGAACTCGGCCTCTTCGTCCGACGACGTCAAACAAAATTCGAATTGGGTCCTCAGCTGCGTCTTCACGTTGTCCAGCACAAAGCTCCAGACGTCTGAATTGTCTTCTAAAGTAGGGTTTGGGTGATAAACAAGTCGATTGATCAATTCAGTGATTGACGGTGTTTGTGTCATCCGTGTAGTTGCGCTTTGTCGATGCTTTTGTGCTTGTCGTGGCTTTTCATCTGAGACTTCTTCGGGGTATTGGCATGCATTATCCCCGTCGTAGTAATAAAATCGGAAGATGTAAGGCTCTTGGAAGTAAAAGCCGATCTCATTGCCATCTTCAAGTATCACTTTCTCGCGATTGTGCCCCTTCCGAACGGGTTTTTGATTGACGTAGACACACCCAAGAGGACTGGTGACCTCAACAAAGCCTTTATTTCGATCTTCGTCAAACACAAAATTACAATCAACAAAGACGGACATCGATATGTTGTTGGTCGTGTTCTTCGAGATCGGAAAAATGTGACCAACTAACTCAATTTCAGGATGACTGTTCCCATGAACGGGTTTTAAGACTCCCCACTTCTTCTGCTCATCATCAGGGCGGCGCTTCGGTTTAAAAGTGTCGTCAGGAAGTTGACGTTTACCTTCTAGGTACATCCGGTCCGGTGCAGACATTTGGTTTTTGTGTTTTTAGTGTTCTTTTTCACTTTTTCTTCGTTGAAGTGTTTCGTTCAGAATTGTTCATCAAAAAATTTGTGTTTTTTGGATGAAAAAAAACTACAATTTTGATCCTGAGTTTCAGTGTGTCAAATTCAGAACTCGTTGATAATGAGTTGAATTTATATGTATTTCTCAAAACTGTTGTTTACTCCAATTTGTTAAACTATTTTAACGGATTTCATTGTTATTTCATTGTTTTGGGATTTGAAAAAATAAGAGTGATGATTTTTATAGACAATTTGAGAGAAATTGAAAGATAAAAATTGGGAATTCTGATCCGATATAATATATAGGAAATAATTTATTTATTGGATGGATAAAAACGAGAATTAAATAATCAATGTGATTGTTGTATAATTAAATTTATTATAATCATTAATTATTTAAAAAATATCGTTTTAATCTTGATTTGACCATTTTTTTCACAATTTACTTTTTTTTAAGATCAATAGTAATCTAATGGTTAATTAAACTAATTTTTTTAAAATTGTATTTCTATAAATAGTTTTTAAATAATTATAATATAAATCAATAATTTATAGTTTAATATGTTAGAAATGTTTTATTTTTAATATCCAAGAAATAGATCCCATAAACCATTAAGTCAAACTGATCTATCAAAATAAAAGAAGACAAATGGAAATATTAACGACGGAGTACATAGATTCTCCATCAGTTAGTCCGTATAGCAGAATTAAACGAAATTTTTATGACAAGTTAAAGCAGAAGAATCATTTGAAAGTGGATTCTGTTGTCGACCAAGACTCTATTAATAAGAAGACTGTTAAAGAAACAAACAACGAATCATTCAAAACTAAATCTGTACTTATTCCAATAAGAACAAAACCTCTTCAAATCAAAATATGTGCACAACCTCTTCATTTTCTTCCTGCAAGTCCTCGAACGAATTCCGTTTGTTCTATTCTAATAGAAACAATAACATTTCCGTTAAGTTCTTTTTTCCGTGTTATTATCTTGTTTTTTTGTATCGATTTATTTGTAGGACTCGGTTGACGACGTACTCACTTTGATGCTCGAAAGACGTCAAGAGCTTTGTTCGTCCCCCTTGTCCTAACCAAATAACTGATAACTTACTGTTGTACTTGATTGGGTTTATATTCTTAATAATAAATATATAATAAAAAATGGATTCTAACAATTAATTTTTTTTCCATCTTTATAGTTAAATTGATAATTAGTAATAATAACTTTTTTACGTGTAAATATATTCATATTTTTTACAATATAATTATAATACCAATTTCTAGTTTTTCTTTTTATCAAACTATAATTTGAATTACATCAAAAGTTTATTGGAAAAAAATCATTATTTAGTAATATTTAGTAATATTTATTAAAAATAATAAATAACAAGATAAATAATTTTCTAATAAAAAAATAAAATAAAAATTCAAACAAAATTTTGTAATTCAAAAAAAAGTCAAATGTTTATTTTTGATTAGAAAAAAAAAATATTCGTTTTTTTGCCAAATATATTTAATATAGTTTGAAATTATAATACTATAGAAACTGAGAAAAAAAGCAGAACAACCCGCACAAAAATAGAATTCACTTCATTTTCCACTTCTCATTTAAAACTTCTAGTAAAATACTATTAAACCATATATTTAATAACAGACACTTTTTGAGTGGTTATCTTGTTTCGGTTTTTATAGATAAAAAGGAGGTGAAAACGGGAAAAAAACCTTGCATTGTTATTATTTTTGGAAAATGTTAAAAGCAAAAAAAACTTTTAAAAGAACTTTTAAAGAAGAATGGCCACATCCGATTCGGTTAAGTTGGTTGTGATAGGTGATGGTGCTGTGGGTTTGTTTCTTCTCTTTCATTTGGGCTTAATTTGGTTTTGACCAAATAGGAAAAACGTGTATGTTGATGAGTTATACTTCCAACGACTTTCCCAGCGACTATGTCCCAACTGTGTTTGACAATTACGTTGCAAACGTGTCGGTTCAAAAGAAGGTTGTGAGTCTTGGGCTTTGGGACACAGGTTTGTTTATTGGTGTTTCTTTTGTTTTTGTAGCTTTTTATTTTATATTTAGACCCATTTTTCCTCCCTTTAATGTAATTTCGTTCCATCAGTCTTAATTTCGAGTTGTCATTTTGGTCATCTCGAGATTGTTGACACTGGAACGACTGGACATTTAAGGGAGGGAAAAAAGAGGGAATTGTGGTTAACAAATCATTGAGTCATACTGTCGTTGTTATTTCAGTTCTATGTTGAATTATTATTATGCGTAACGGTGCTTAAGAAACACAAATAACCAATAGCTGGTCAAGAAGAGTTTGATTCGCTTAGGCCACTATCGTACCCTGGCACAGACATATTTCTTCTTTGTTATGCAGTAAATAGCAGTGCCTCGCTTGCAAATTTAAAGGACAAATGGTACCCCGAGATCCAAAAGTATTGTAAAGACGAATTTAAAATGATGGTTGGTCTTAAGGTTGATCTTCGAGAAAACGCGCAAGAGGTCAAAAAAATAGAAGTTGAAGGGAACAAGATGATAACTCCCGAGGAGGGACAGAGTATGTGTACCGAACTGGATTGCGCGAAGTACATGGAGTGCTCCGCCCTAACTCGAAAAGGGTTAGTTGAAGTCTTTGAGACGGCCGTTGAAATGGTTCTGAATAAAAATATCGAAGACAAAGCCACAAAAGCAAAAACGCCCAAAAAGAAGTGTGTTATTCTCTAAAGAATGTAGATCTTTTCATTGACCTAATTTTATCAATTCCACATGTCATGTTTCAACGTTTTGTCGACACCACAATTTAATAATACATAACAAATCAAAGTAATAAATTTACGGATTCTGCAATAAGTCTCATTCTTTCATCCCCAAACATTTTGAACCCCGCAACTAGTAACTTGAGAATCGAAGTCTCAAGCGCATTTCTTTGTGTTTCGCGAACTTTGCTCATCATCCACTCTGAGGACTTTTCAACTGCACTCGCCATCTTCCGCACAATCAGAACGTCTTGATCTTCACTGCCCAACTCGTCTTCGAAATCCTCCATATCCACGTCTTTCGCAAATATAGAATTCTTCACGCACAACACTTTCCCACCATTTTCTTTGATGTCGAGTTGATTGAAGAGAAAGTTATGAGTCGTTTTTATTTTGCTTATAAATTCAAGTTTTGGTAAGAGAGATGGCAACGACCACTTCATCGTTTCTGTTTTATACTCGTCTTGCCCTTGTTCTGATAACACCAACTCGACATCTGCCGTGTCGTATTGTTTTGTTGAGTAATTATAGCACCTAAAGTACCGTTTTTCAAGACACAACAACCCGACCTGTTTCAATAAATTTGGGTAGATCACTTCGTTTGAAATGTCCGGCTCAAAGAGGGGATAAAAGCCCAGTACCAATTTTGGTATGTTGTAACTCTTAGAGTCGAGTGAAAACTCGCCAAACCCACAGAACAAAAGACCAATTGATGTACTCATGACGGCGTGAGAACCAAATGTGATGTACTCATCGCACACTGAATAAATTCGTTTGAACACCTCATATATTTCTTTATCACAACTCCCCGCAAAGAGCAATGCAATGGACAAACACATTATTTTCAAAGATCTGTCAAAGTGCGGTGTGTTCAACGTGAAATTCTGATTTGCCGATCGAATAGCCGCAAATAGACTGTCTTGAATCTTCTTAATGAACTTGAGAAACACACTCTTTAAAACACTATCAAAGCTTCCCGCGTATTTTAAAGCCAACACATAACACGCCGACGCTATAATAAAGTACTTTGCGTTCACCATTTCAAACGCAGAGAACTTGCGATGGGACAGTTCTTCAGGAATGTTCGCAAATATCCAGGCCTCACTCTTTTCTATTTTGTCAAAGAAAATCAGATTTTTACACAAAATCCGTGCAAAGATGTCATCCGGCCGAATCGCACAGATGTCGCGAAGTCCCCGAGGCAGTTCCACTATTTGTGCTATATCGAAATTGTCGGTATCAAAGTACCCAAGTCCAAGGGACAAACACACTGCCGGCACGGTGATAAGGGTTGGGATCCTTCGGTTATCAAATCTGACGTCTTGGAAATTCTCGATGTTCTCAGCACTCTCCAATTCCCATCCAAATGTACTTGTTGTGCCTTCTGTGCAATTAATGATATTCAAAGGTTTGCCATACCTCGCGCCATTCATTATTCGTTTCATCGCCTCGACTTGGTCGACATCAAATCCTCCACCAAAGTGGAAAATGCCAAGAGCAACTAACCCACAAAAGATCCCCGCCGTGCTTTGTGTCCCTCGGGGATATCTTGTAAATGCCTTTGAAAGACAATAAGTGTCTCTCTCCTTATTTGGGCAGTTCTGATACACAAAAGCATATGCAATCAACGCAAGAAACTGGGTTGAAAGGTCGGGTGGGTTTTGGACGGATGGGTTCAATATGATTTTGATCAGTTGCTCCGTCTCTGAGCTTTTTGAGAACGAGTCGCGTTTGATAATACCGAGGAGCACCGCCTCGTCGACTCGAGGGTTTTGTAGTGACAATGTCTTGTACAGAAAAGTCCGGTCCGAAGAGTCAAACCCTTTTCATTAATCGGTTGTGAGTCAAAAGGGGTGCCTTTGAGGCTTTGTACCCGAGATTTCTATTATCAAAAATTAGTATCGAAAAACGCTAATAAAACGGGTAAAAATATCTTTCTTGTTTTATTAACGTTTTCACATACTAATTTTTGATGATAGAAATTTCGGGTACGAAGCCTAGTGCCTTTAGAAACAAACCATTACAAATACACTTCCCCAAAAAGTTCCCTAAAGTACCGCTGTCCAAATCAATCTTCCCAAGATTGACAGTCTGACAAGATGACAAGCCACTTGTGATTGCGGCTAAAAAGTCCACAGTTTCCCGATTTTTTAGGGGAAAGTCATACTACTGGTCACTCGTTCTCTTTGATAGTTGTTTTACTATAAAATATAGTTGAACAAACTTTAATTGGGGTCGACTCGAAAACACCTTCAAAATTAACTAAACCACCTGTATTTTCTGAGTGCTCGTAAAAAAGAAAGTGACAAGCATACGGTTTTGAGGCTTGACGAAGTGCGGAGATTGAAATTTGTTCATTTGCGTCTTCGAGTGAGTCTGCTGTGATTTCGATTCGTTTTGTTGGGTTGACTAACGAGATCACATCTTCTAGAATTTTCGATCTTTGAGACGGAACGATTTGTGGTGGAGAAATGGTGTGATCTGTTCTGTGGAGGAATGACAACACTGGGATTGATTTTGGAAGGTCGGGTACTTCGTTTTGGGATGTCAAAAAAGGGAGAAGAAAATGAAAGATTGGAGAGAGTAATAACGAGAGTGTCGGGGTTGTATCACACACTAAATTTTGAAGGGGAACTTCTAATAATAAATTTAACATGTCATCATAACTCCCTGATAAATTTGAATAAAATTTGGTTAAGGATGTGAGTTGAGGTGTCGGACCACCAACTAAACTAATTATTTGTGACAACAACGTGATTATTTCATCTTGTTGTGTCATTTACTTTTTTATTTTTTTGTTTTTTATTTTTAAACTTTTGGAATTCAAAAATGTTTTATTTTTTTGTATAAAAATTGAGTTTTTTGAAAAAGTAATTAAATTAGAATTGAAATAATAAAATACAATTATTTTATTAGCACTTAATATAACCCCTTGTTTTTTATTGACTTTTTATGAATGGGATATATAAATATTTTTTGATGTTTTTCCCTTTTTTGCTTGTGTACTGTTAATCATATAATAAACATCTAAAAACAGGAAAAGTAATAAATAAAGTAGAAATTTCCCGATTTTTATATTAATTATTTTTTGTTTAATGTTTTTAAGGTGTTGAGAAAACAAAAAAAAACAAGAAAAAAAACTATATAACTTTTAACTTTTATTTAATTAAAATATAAAAGACTTTTTGTTAAGAAAACAAACAAAAAAATTTGTTGTGGATTTTGGTAAAAATAATACTAAAAATAAATAATCAACTATGCGAAGTAAAAATGACTTAACTATATTTATTAAACTAAAAATTAATAATATATAATATATTTAAAATACTAGATTTACAAATAAAAATATACTATAATTTTTTTATTTAAAAATCTAGAAACAAAAAAGAAAGTGTAAAAATCATCGCGATTGACTTATCTTGTATTCGTTGACCTCCAAAACGACCAAACACGAAATCTCAGAACACAAAACCTCTCATAAGCTAAACAAATATGTAAAAAACATATCAAAACCATTTGAATATAATAAATAGAACTATACTGATAGCTCTATTTTTGGTTTTATGTTAAAACATCGAACTGTCAAACAAAGCTTAGACTCTGTAAACACTATAAAAAGCGATATAACTCTTATCTCATTTAATGAATCATAACGAGCAGTCGCTCAAGGTCCTGTTAGTTGGTGAGTCGGGTGTGGGAAAGACTTCCATTACGAAAAGGCTCTGCCAGGACAAATTTGACGTCCTTTACATTTCGACAGTGGGTGTTGATTACACACCTAAGGTTTGTTGTTGCAACTTTCTACTAAGATTTTAACGTGCAGCAAACACAAGTCGACGACAAAACAATCAGACTTCAACTTTGGGACTCGGGTTTGTTTTTTTTCATGTGTGTGGACTAATATGTGACAAACAGCTGGACAAGAGCGTTTCAAAAACATCACATCGTGCTATTTTCGTGGAGCCCATGGTATTATGATTGTGTACGACATGACGAAACAAAAATCGTTTGACAGCGTCGTGTCTTGGTTTGACGATATCCAGGAGAAGAGTTTGGGAACAACCCCGATTATATATGTTGTTGGCAATAAGAGTGATTTAACCTCTGACGTTGTTGTTGATCAAAAGCAAATCGAGGCAATGTCGAAAAAACTCTCTGGAGCCAAGTTCTTTTACTGTAGTGCAAAGGATGGATCAAACATCACGACAATCTTTGACCAACTTTCAAGAGAGATGCTCATTGAACAAGAAAAAGAAAAGGCAAAATACACCGAGCCTGATAATTGTCTTCAGCGAGGATGCCGTTTTTTGAAATGTTTTTCTTTCTAAACTTACTGCTCAAATGTCTTCTCATTCGACAACATATCTCACTTTATCAATCTTGTGAAATTTACTATATTTATTGGTTTTATTTCTATTTATTACCATTTTTTCAACATTCATTAGTAAACTATAAATAAAAACAAAATTTATTATGATTATTAATTTAATTAACTACAACTATTTTTTCAAGTGTGTTATATATATATATTATAATAATTTTTATTAAAAACAAGTAATTTTAAAAAATAAATAGTTAAAAAGCTATATATTACTATAGTGAACCAAATAAAACAAACAATCTCCCGAAATATAGTACAATTTGGCGTCACTCCATTCCACACACCACTCAGAAATTCTTTCTTATTAAATGGAAATTTTCTTCGATCATCGTGTTACAGTATGCCGTTCTCAGAAACTGCAAATAAGGAAGTTGAAAGAGCATGTCGTTTTGTTCTCTTTTCAGTATCTGTGGAGAGACAAGTAGTGTCAGGCTGAGGAGATTTCTCTGTTCCAAAATGAGCCCGAACTGATTTTCTGGGTACGTGCAGTTCACTAGCAAAAACGAATCCAAGTCGCATCCCCTTAAAAACTCGAGCGTTCCGACAATTGAATCATAAATTTTGATTTTTTTCAAGTTCTCAATCTTGTTGAGTTTGAGTGAGTTGTCTGGAACGTCACCACATAAAAGGATGGAATTCAGGAAAGGAGTGCAGTCGGCCTGGAACATTGAAGTGTTCAGGCATTGCAAGGTCTGCACAAACGACATTGTTTTGAAGAAAAGGTTGTCCTGATCTGTTGTAATCAACTTTGCACGCGTCAACAAGTCGTCGATACATACGTTTGGAAGGGTTGGATGCTCCATATACAATTGGTCCACAATGATATTGGAGGGTAACAGCCGTTTGTTTCTGAAACCTTGGTCGATCGTGATTGAAAGGAAAATGGTGAATACTGGCGGAAAGGCCAAGAGGTGATTAACTGAGTCGTCTGTGAGTTGAATATCGAAGTCCAAAAAAACCTTTTCGATCCCACGAATTTCCGATAATTTCACCAATGAGGGATCAAAGCCAACTTGCACCTTCTTTAAATTCAAATATCTCAGGTGGGGAAGGCAGCGAAGCCTTAACAACTGATCGACGGGGACGATACTGTTATCGCCCTCACGTATTGTTAACGACGTCAAGTTGTAAAACGTACTTGCGTCAGTGATGAAATCGGAGTAATCTTGAAATATCGAAACAAATCTATTTGTGAGAATGCTAAACAAAACTGTAAAGATAGTTTTTTTAACTTTGAACACAAAGTTAAAAATTAACAAACATGTTGAGTTTCGAAAGATTTGGAATGCGTTTAAAAGAGTGGTTATACCCAAATGCCTGCACAGTTTCCAAGTTACTCATCCGTTCAATGTTATACAGAATAGGCGATTTAGTTGTTGTATCATTGAAGGGGTCGATGGCAATTTTCAAATTGGTGAGGCTGGGAAGGGTGTTGATGATATTTTGAACGCCTTGGGCGTGCTCGGCTTGGGTTCCGTGGTCCATTACAACTTCGAGGTGTGAAGTTGACCTACAAGAAATGCACTGGAGCAACTGAGCCTGACTCACAACACCTTCGTAGTCGTATATGAGTGTCTTTGTATTTTTGAGTAAATTGATCCATGAAAGGTCTTTAAAAATGTCATTGTCGATCGGAGATGTTTGTGTTGGTAAGATGAACAAACTGTCGACCTGAATTTGTGACTTAATGAGCTTTGGGCCGTCTGTGTCGTATATACTGAGGTGCGAAATGTGTTGTGTCAAAAAGAAAATCTTCTTGTTGACAAAGCGCAACCGTTGGAGTGTTCGAAAATTCAAACACTCAAAGACCAAATTTAAACCGAGTGGATGAAGAGTCACCATTACTCACTTTTTTTTTTAGTTTTTCGTTGATTTTTTTAATTTCTTATCTATTTTTTCTGGTACACAAAAACTATTAAATATATAGTATTGTTTATAATTTTTTTATAGTTTCAGTTTGGTTTTAAACTATAGTTATTTAAACAATATAATAAAGTCATTATTGTTTTTTTTTGAAAACCGTTTATTATATCAAAAATGAACACAAAATTATGAAATGAAGGACAACTAAATCTGGAAGTTGATTAACACACCCATAGGTTATAGATTTCCGGCCCGCGCATTTTATTTTAACCTTAGGATGTCAATTGAAACTTTTATTTTTATTTATTTCACCAAGGTCAAATCTAGATATTTTTTATCCAGTTCATTTTATTGTAAAAAATAATAACAAAACAATAACAAATTGTTATTTAAATGTTTTACTAAAACAGAAATCACATATATTGTGTTTACACAAGTTACAACACCATGTAATGCTCAAGGTGCTACACAACTCACAAAATAACGTTGTTTTCGTTGATTTAGAATTTTGCAGTTATAACACAGCCCATTTTTTCTCTTACTGTTAGTTTTAACAGTAACATATTTTTCATTTACACAATCACAACACATCGGTATTTCGAATTTTTTTAAAGCAATCATTCTTTCCGTTGAAATACCTGAACGATTCAGTTGCAAAGCAAAGGGTGTTGCTAGTTCAAGTGCCAATTTTTTCATGAATTCCCCTTTATCTTTTTTGAGTGTATTAAGGTTCCATAATACAAACGAGTAATGCACACAAACATCTGCTTAAAACAAGAAATACGATACAGTCCATCTTCTTGACGTTCTTCGACATGAATGCATTTCACACAGTTTATCCACCATATCAACACCACCATTAAGTTTATTATATCTCAAAATAGTTTCTGGTGTTCCATCTTTATCGCTAAGTTTTGTTTTTGAACTGTTCGTTGTAACTATAAACACTCCGGGCTTTGTTGCGTTTTCCTTATATCTTAACATGTTCCATTCAATCCCTTCATGTTTGAACAAAACTGCTCTGTCTGTATCGTCGCTCTTGAATAATTTACACACTCTAAACCGATTTTGGCGTACTGTACCAATATATGACATCCTTCGAGATGTTAGTTGTTGTAACAACTCTTCAGTTCCAAAATAATTATCACAACATAAAACGCGGTCTTTATCTAGTAAATGAGACACTAAATCCATAATCGTGACTCTGATTGGAATTGACTTGCCCTTTTCCTTTTTGGTTTTTTTTTCAATTTGATTCAGTTTCTTCCAATCCAGTTTTATGTCTGTGTTGTGTGATATATTGTTTGTTCTATTTATAGGCTTTTTATACTCTCCGCCACAATACATTGTCATTTTAGACACAAACAACGTTTTACAATCAACAACAGCAAATGTTTTTAGACCATATTTTTCTGGTTTAAGAGGCATGTAAACTTTAAATGGACAACGTCCATAAAAAGGAGACATAATTTCATCTATGACTAAATTCTTTTCAGAAATAAAAACATTTTGAAAATTGTTGTTAATTCTTTCGAATATTTCATAAATTGCTTCATTTTTTCTTTTGAACTTTTCTTGCCTCGCATCTCTCGTTTCTTTGTCATCAAAATGAATGTTATGGAAAAGTTGCTTTAGTCGATATAATGGAAACAACGCTTTGTAATAACAAGAACAATCATTGGTGTATAACTCGGTAAGTGGTTTTTTACCATAGAAGTTGAAACCTTGCATAATAACAACGCCTATAAAAGCTTGGATTTCGGTAAGAGTTAGCTCTTTCCAATCCATAACCTTTTTATGTATTGCATAATTATGAGTTTGTTTGGTGATTATTTTCAATATTTCATCATCAAAAACTTCTAAAAACAATTTATTGGCGTAGTTTGAATATTTTGTGTTTTCGTTTTTCCTTCTGTGTTATGTGTGAAATTTATTTCTGAAAAATATTTTTCAATAAATATTTGTTTTGACCAACATTCAGTACAATTTGGGTCAGTACAACGTTTATGAGTTGTTTGTGTCGTCTTTTTGTCTTCAATGATACCTTCATATAACTTTGTATCAAAATCGCTTATTGAGTTGTCTTCAGAACAACTATCAAATCCATTATCTAATATACATTCCATTTCCATTTCCATTTGATTT